ACRGCCTGGAGCTACCCTACCCACGACTCAGTCCCAAGGGTCCTGTGGAGACCTAACGCAGAACTTCCACCACAAGATTCTGCCTCTGACCCAGCTGTAGGCCAGGTCCCACCCTGCCCTGGACCCCACTGGACAGAGGAGTCACTGAGATCTAGAAACGGCAGTGGGATGAGTGGCCAGCTACCATGAGCAGTCGCCCAGAACCAGCCGGGGAGGGCTGTGGAAGGGTCACTGTGCAGTCCCCCATGGTCTGCAACCGCAGGATGAAGGGGAAGACCAGGGCCATGTCCCCTTGTTTGAATTGCTCAGATTCTCATTAATCTATTTATATTCTCACCTTGTCCCTATAAGAATTTAAGGAGACCTTTAAATTCAACAGGAGAGAACACAAAGAAAAGTGAGAGTCAAGGCTAGGAAGGCGGCCAGGGGCATGGGAAGGGCAGTGGCAGGTGCTGCTCCGCTGGCTGGGCTCTGCCCTTAGGGAACATAGTCATTGGAGCCCCTACCCAGCATCTGACCTGGTGGAGATCCAGAATTCAGGATGGCTCTGGTGGCGGGGAGGGAGTCTACACCGCCGCCCCCCACACACACACACACACACACCTGGCACACAGCAGGCCCTTCAAAAGCTCAGGAGGAGGTGGGGACAGCAGGCGTCCTAATGCCTCTGGCGGTTTCTTCCAGTCCGTGTCCTTTAACCCACAGGACAACCCAGCGTTTCCCTAAGGGTCAGACTAGAACGTGTCCCTTGGGGGCCCCGAAAAGACACTGGGCAGGGCTTCTGCGCCCGCTGGAGAGAAAGGCACCGTGTACTTCGGGTTACGGGGGGAGGGGACACCTGGCCAGGGGTGCTGCGCAAGGGAAGCCTCCCTGGAAGAGGAGGCTGGGGACACCAGGGAAGGACCGCTCCCCCGCCGGAGGCCGGACAGCAGCGGGTACTTGGAGGGGCGGAGGGGAAAACGGTAAGAGGCACAATAGGTCCTCGCTTGAAACCCCACTGTCCCACCTCTGGAGTCAGCACTGGACCCTGAGCCAGGGCTGGTCTAATTACAGGGGACTCCGGATCCACCGAGATCGCGAGGCTCTTTTAAAAGTTTGTCCCCAAACAAAACCCCTCTCTCCGCCTCGCCGCGGGAGGCTCTGAGGACAGACGCGGTTGCCCTCCTCCACCCCTTCGGAAACAACAATGGGCAGCCGGCCGAAAGAGAACCGGGGAAGCAAGTGTGGAAAATCCCCCAATTTTGCACTGTCAACTGCTAGGCGCTCGGCGAGCCAGCGGCTTCCGTGCTGCCCCCGCGCGTCACTCAGCGGGACTGCATCCCGGGAGGGAGGGGCGCCGCCGTTGATCTCCTGGTTCTCAGACTCTGAGGACGCATCTTGGGTAGGGAATAATGTTCGGTTCCTAAAGTCGAAATCTTACCGCRCCTTGCACTTTCCTGAGCCAAAAACGTACAGTGACTTGCTTTTACTGGATCATCACATCTTTCCACCAGCGGTGCTCTTTTTTTTTTTTTTTTCTTGACATTAAGTCAGAGACAATGCATTAAAGAATTGATGAAGTGTGTCTTCAGGGGACCAAGATAGCCACTGAGCCCAGGAGCAGCGATAGCTCTTCCCAACTCTCAAAAGCATGCATTCTAAGCGCTGCCTCCAGCAAACCACTTCCCTTATGGTCCTATACAATCTTATACAACCTGTGGGGAACCTTGGCTACTGGGCAGAATCAGGTAAAAAGAAAAGGAAACCGCAAATAGAAGCACCCACTGTCAGGCCCGGGCTGTGCCTGTATGATCTCAATGGAAATCCACAGCAACCTTTCAATGGATGTGTGAACACCAAAGGCAGCAACCTGAAAAAAGCTGCCCAGGCAGTGAGGGCTAGCACCTACATTCCACGATGCTCTCAAGTATTCAATGATTCCTAAAGCAACTTGACCTCAGGCTTGTGACTCATCTGACCTGATGTTGAGAGCCTAGAAACTCACCCGTCACCCCCTGAAATCTCATGGTGCATGTGCCAGGTTTAAGTCAAAGTGGAAGATTGAGTAAAATCCTGTAGCCAACAAGGAAGATTTTCTTCCTTCTAAAATAATTCAAGAAAGGAAGGGCTTCCTGAATAATTTGGTTTCCCTGGTGGTTTCGGGATTTGTTTGTTTATTTTTGTACAGAAGCTTGAACCCAGGATTCAATCCAGGTTAACCCAGGAGCGCTTAACCATCCCCAGTCCTTTCTTTTTTTTTTTTTTTTTTTTTTTTTGAGACAGGGTCTCGATAAGTTGTATAGGGCCTTCCTAAGTTGCTGAGGCTGGCTTTGAACTTGCGATCCTCCTGCACCTCCCAAGCCACTGAAATTTAGATATGCACCACTGTGCCTGGTCCCAATCAGCTATAATGGCAAGGAGGAAGTTTGATTCAACCCCTCTGGGGTAGATGTCATTGCTCCATGGGTCAGGCTGTTCTGGCTCCCTTTGCAGATTGTCACATAGGCAACAACTCACTGGGGACCCTACACCAGGCCCTTCTTTCCTCTCTGGAGTCAGTTTCCCCATTGTGACCAAGAGGTCATCACAGGGTGGGTCCCAGATCAAGCACAGAAGGTTTTCTTGGCCTTCCTGAAGGATCCCAGCTTGCTCTTGACCATTCTGGGACCATATATATTCCCACTTGGCAGCAGTGACTATTACCAGCACTGAGAAGTGGCTTCTCTAGACCTTCTCACTGTCCCCCACCTCAGACCTGAACACCAGGAAAGGGAAGGGTTCTGGAACCAGACAGCCCAGAATCAGGATCCCACTTCTGGTAACTGTCCCAAGCTTGGCTGGTCCCAGAACCAGTATAGTAATACTTTTGAACTTCAGTTTTCTCTTCTGTAAAATGTGTATCATAGACTTGGGCTTGCTCATGAGGTCGGAAAAGACACAGCTATAAGAAAGAACCTGGTACCCAGAGCTCTCAATACAGAACAGCCTTAATTACAATCTGCTGCTTGAAAAAGTGCTCCATCTGGGTAAGGATACCTGGTGGGTTGACAGGGCAGCTCTCCCCTGTGGCTCTGGGTTGCTGCCTCCAGCCCTGTGCAGGAAGACTCCCCAGGCCTCAGCCACAGATGGGGTCCAGGGACTGTAGGCAGAAGCAGACAGCACCAGGCACACTGCTGTGCTCCATTGTGCCACCCCTCCCCCACCACATACACACACACACACACACACACACACACACACACACACTCCTAGCAAGAATGAATTCTCCCCGGAGAAGCTAGATCAAGCTGACCCCAGGCTTCCGTGGTCAAGGACAGTTTTAAAGCAGCTTATAAGATGAGCAGGACTTTCAGGTCCTGAATCTCACCAAGGACACCCCCCCCCCCCAGAGCCTCTAGGTCACTCTATACTGTGCTCAGGGCCCTGCACCCCTCCCTCTAAGTGGACCAGATATTCCTTCAATCCCTTTGGAAAACTGCATCTCCCCTTTTAGTTGGGTTTCCTTCTTGAGGATTTCTTGGTGTGATCTACCATATTTTTAACAGCTTTTTTGAGACATAATTGACATGCTGTAAGCACTCAGGACCCCCACCTGCACTCAGGTCCCTAACAGAATGGAAAATGGCAAAGCTTGATGTGGACATCTAACCCAGGCCTGACAGTCAAACTCACTCCCAGAGGCCACACTGGCCTGAATCAAAACAGGAAGGCCCAGGCAGGCTGCCCATGCCACTGTGAGAATCTGGACCATCATTTCACACCCCACCCCAGTTCCTGCTCCTTGGAGGGTCTACAACCTCTGCATGGAGTCAGGGTACTGGGTGTGGCCCACTCTCAGAGCTGCAGTGTACACCAGATCCTCCCATCCTGGGATCCTCTGGAGACCCCATCTTGCAAGGTGTGCACCAATGGGAAGGCCCAGGCTGGACACCACCCAACACAGGATGGACCCAGGACACCAACACACCCTCCAACCCACCCATGAAATCAAGAAGTTAGACTTTGCTCTGGACTCTCCACAATTTTTAAATGTTGGCTCCGCTTTTTATAACTTTTTTTTATTGGAGTATAAACATGAAGGCGAAAAATGCACATTGGTTGAAATTCCTTTCAAACAAGAAGAGACTGCATTAAGCTGGCCCGCAGGCCTCTGCAGACATTTCAACACCTTTTCACAGAAGAACTCCCAGTGATGGTCCCAAAGCTACCCAGGGGGCAGGGAGCAAGGAAGGGGTCTTACCAGGCTCTGGGTCGGCTCCCTACCCTCCCTTTCAGTTCCTGGCCCTAGTTCAGTCGCCCCAACCCACGTGGTGCTCCCGACCCCCTGGTCTCTCGAAGTGTAGCTGAGCCCTCTTGAATTTAGAACTTCTGAGTGCCCAGCATGCAAGGTCAAGGCTTCTCCTCCGGTGAGGACAAGGGTGTCTCCAGACCTGGGGAGGAACAGGGAACCCAATCCCCAGAGGCGCTGCCGCTGAGTGCTCCGGGCCCAGAAGGATCGCCCGGGCCTAGGTTCCACGCTCCCTAGTCGCTCCCGACGCTTCTTGCTGACTGGAATCAGTTCCCGGTTTACAGCTGCCCGCCTCCTGGCTGCGACTTCACCGCCGGAGACACCAAACCCGGCGCCCAGCATTGGCCTGTGGCCCCCAGTGCTCCATAGGCGGAGCCGAGGATCCGCGCGGGCGGCRACGACAAGAGGCGCCGCGGGGGCGGGCCGGGGGCGGGCCGGGGCGGGGCGGCGGCAGACTGCGGAGACGCGGCGGCGCGCGGGGCGGCGCAGAGCGTTCTCGGCGCGGAGCAGAGCGGGCTGGTGCGGAGGGCGAGAGGCGCGGGGCGCGGGGGGGTCGTGGCCGAGCGGGAGCCAAGCCGGAGACGGGCCGGGAAACCGGAGCCGGGCAGGGAGCACCCATGGCGCCGCGGAGGCCCGGGGCCCGCGCCGCTGCGGGCAGCCTGGGCGCCGAGTAGCCGGGCCGGGCCGGAGCGCGGGTGGCGGCGGCGGAGGCAGCTGCGCCGGCGCCCCCCGCCCTCCCAGGCCCCGCGCCCCGCGCCCGGGCCGCCGGCGATGGTGACACATGCGGCGGCGGCGCGCCGGCGGCAGGACCATGGTTGAGCGCGCCAGCAAGTTCGTGCTGGTGGTGGCGGGCTCGGCGTGCTTCATGCTCATCCTGTACCAGTACGCGGGCCCGGGGCTGAGCCTGGGCGCGCCCGGCGGCCGCGCGCCGCCCGACGACCTGGACCTCTTCCCCACGCCCGACCCGCACTACGAGAAGAAGTACTACTTCCCAGTGCGCGAGCTGGAGCGCTCGTTGCGCTTCGACATGAAGGGCGACGACGTGATAGTCTTCCTGCACATCCAGAAGACAGGCGGCACCACCTTCGGCCGCCACCTCGTGCAGAATGTGCGCCTCGAGGTGCCCTGCGACTGCCGACCCGGCCAGAAGAAGTGCACCTGCTACCGACCCAACCGCCGCGAGACCTGGCTCTTCTCTCGCTTCTCCACGGGCTGGAGCTGCGGGCTGCACGCCGACTGGACCGAACTCACCAACTGCGTTCCCGGAGTGTTGGACCGCCGCGACCCCGCCGCGCTGCGCACGCCCAGGTGAGCGCCTGCTGCGGGAAGCGCTGTCCGGACCCAGGGCCGCGGGGATTCAGCGCGCGGGGCGCCCTGGAGCCTGGGTCCTGGCTCCGCCAGGCAGAGCTAAGCCAACTCTACCCTCTTGGGGCCCCCGTTCGCCTCGGCCCTTTCCAACCTGCAGGCGAGGCGCGCAAGGCTCCCAGCTCGTCAGCTCTGGCAGCTGTCACCCCTTCCCTCTGACTTCCCTCTTAACATCTCGGTGCCTGTCTTTGCTCCACGACCGGCCTGGCTGCGTGGTGCCCTGACTTCCTTCTGGGTCAGCGCCTGCTGCAGCGGTCTGGCTGCCCCACCTGCTGTGCATCGCTGGCCGGCAGGAGAGCTGATCCGCCAGGGGTACGGTCCAGGCTGGCCTCAAGCAGCTCGGTGGGTCTTTGGGAGGGGAAGCGTGTTCCCTGGTGTGTATACAGCTCACCTGGAGAGTTCACCTCCCCGCGTCCCTCTAATACCAAAAGTGGAGTGAGAAGTGAGGTCCCTCTCCCTGAACCTGTGGTGCCCCCAGCCCAACAGTGCCTGCCTGCTTTCAGCGGGGTGGGGAGGAGCTGCCAGGGAAGGGGTGGGTTCTGCCTGCCGGTGTGTGCAGGTAGAACAAAGGCCCTGAGTGACCTGGGCCTGGGGGCGGGGAGAAGGCTGTGCTACCTGCCCTCCCCAGCCCAGAAAGAGAAACAAAAGCTGCCAATTGGGGGCTCCCTTTCCAGGGAACCCACAGCCAGGTTAGAGCGGGTGAGCTGTTCCAGTAGTACCTGTTCAAGCAGACACCTTTTGTCAGGGCTCCCCTTCCCCCTATATATGTAGGATTGAGAGACACGGGGCTGACCTGTGTGTGGACAAGGGTGCTGGGGGTTTCCTGGAAAACACTTTATAACAGATCCCCTGGCAGTGCTGGGCATCTGGCACATAAAGTTGGGATTGTTTTCCTCCCGTTCTGTTGGTGTTCACTGGCCCTGCAGGGATGCACCTACGGGACCTTCTCCCCAGGTGTCAGAGCTGGGAAAGACCAGAAGTGAAGCCTTCTTGCCTACCTTTTGTTTCTGTTTCTCTTCCTTAGGACTGAATTTGCAAACAGATTAGGGGTGGTGGGGGGAATGCAGTGAGCCAGTCTGTGACTGACAGGATATTCCTAGGCACTCCTGGGTCAGAAAGGTACGGACTTCCAGGTGGGCTTGGGAGATCCTACAGGAAGGATGTGGCTAGCCTAGAGCTGGCTGGTCCATGACACTGCTTTCCCTGAGTCCTTTTTTTTTTTTTTCCTGTGAATTTTCTCAGATTTTCAGATAATAGGGATCCTGAAACTGAGGGAATATTCCCACTTTCCTTTAGTTGTACCACATTCCTCCCTCAGCAGCTAAGAAGTGGTGTTCTGGGATCTTAGTTTAATGGTTACAGAACTGCCTGTCCTGAAAGATTGTTTCTGCCCAATCTGCCCTGCACAGATGCACATTCCTGGTGCAGGACCCACCCCACCCGCGTGGTCCAGCCGCACTGTGCTATAGACAGAGCTGGGCCTGGCAGCTGTGGCCATCCACCCTTCCACCAACCAGGGCTGTAGGCTCCAGAGCTGAACACTGACATACCTCACCAGCCAGGTGGACACATTCCTGCCTGCGGGAGGCTGAATCCTATCTCTAGGAGAGCTCCAGGGGAGTGCGCAGACCGGTCCTGGGGTTGCCAAGAGGCTGGGGCTTTAGAAGTGAGCTTACCTACATTGCAACCAGGGTGCTCTTTCTGCAACCCTGTGAGCCCCCAGGGTTGGGAGGCTTCTGGTCTCCTTTCTCCGGAGTTTGTTCCCCAGAGCTGGAGGCCCCAGAGGAAGAGGCTCCAGCTGCCCTCCCACCCTGGAGTGGAAGGAGCAAGTGAGGTAGATGGGCCCCCGGTGCTACATGAGAGAGGCCCCAGCACCCCCTGCCTGGGAAGCCTGTGTGGGTGCAAAGTCAAATAGATGCCTCTTAATTCTTAGACCACCAACCCCTGGGCCTGAGAGTCGCTGGCTCAGCAGCACAGAGGCTGAATGGGGGCAGGGCTGCCAGGGCCCTCAGGAGGCCCTCCTCTGCCTTGCCACCAAACAGGTGACAGTGTCTCCATGTTACTTCTCTCCCTTCCCTCTCTTTTCATTTTTGTTCCCAGGGCTAAGTAGATTGCTTTTGTAATGAGCTGACTGGGGAGGCACAGGAAGTCTTGGCTTTGTAAATTTATATCTCAGCTGTACCCCAGGTCACCTTCTGAGGGACCTCTAGGGCTGGAGCTGGGCCTCAGTGCTGTGGAGGCCAAGGTGCACTTCCTCCACCTGCCCAGGGACTGGTCACTCTGAACGTAGGCCAATGTCCACAATGTCAGGATGACTGGTGTTGAGTAGCACTGGGTTTTCAGAGGACTCGGATGTCACCCTTGCTGTCTTGCTGTCTTCCCCTGCCCTTCCCGCACTCTGTGTGCGTGGATGTCACCATCCAGCTGGTGAACTGAGGAGGGTGTGGGCCTGCTCCCCAGCCCTGACAGGCCCTCTTAGGTCTGGGATCTCTCTTTCTCCTCTGCCTCCTCCGGGACTCTCGTGGGGCTTGGACAAAGGCACATTTCAGGAACCTTTGCCCTGAGTCCCCTCTTCTCCCCACTTCTGGTGCCACCATCCACAGTATCGGGGGCGGGGGGGTTAAGAGAGGTAGGCTGAGTTATGGGGAAGTGGGCTTTGCTCAGCTCCCAGCCACCCCATGATGCGGCGTCCACCCAGGCTTTCTCTGAGCTGGGCACACGTTCAGGTGACAAATGGAGATGGACAGGTTTTTAGTTCCTTCCTGGAATATGGTTTGGAACTTCCAGCAGTTGTTAGTGCTTCTTGCCTTGATAGAGGAACAGGTATGAGAGCAAAGTGTTGGCAGGTCACTTTGTGGTCCCCTTCACTATGGGGGCTCTCGCCTGCTGCCATCAGCTAGGATACTTGTGAAAACAGCCAAGAAGGAAAAGGGAATTTCACTGACCAGCTTGGAGAGATGTGGCTGCCTACAGACACCAGGGCCAAGGCCACTCTGGTCAGTGTGTTGGCACTCCACATTCTGGTGYCACCTCGGAGGGTCCAAATGGTGCACCTGTAGTCAGAATGCCCCTTCTTCCTCTTCCCATTTGCCTGAAGGTGTCACTAGAGGAAATACAGTCATGATCTTGCCTGGGTCAACCCGGGAATGTCCCTGAAATCATCTGGGCTTCGTTTGGAAAGAACCACRGAGGGTATCTGGGGACCAAGAGTGGCTTCTGGCCCACCTTGGCTGGGCTCAGGTCACATCCTCTCTGCAGCAGGGCACCTTGGGAACACGCAGCAGGCTCCTAGTATCTGTGATACCTCCTTCAGGGACTGTGCTTCCTCATGGGAGCAGTAGAACCAGTGGTCCCTCATCAGTGACATGTCCTGTCAGTGCCTACAGCTTCATCTTTGTGTGCTGCCCCACCTCCATCATCCTGAAGTCACCCCAGGTTCCARCACCTACCTGGTGCCCAGCCTGAACTCCCCCTGTGCCTCATTGCACCCACCTCCCCCACTGTCCTCCAGGTTACTCCACCGACTTCAGTTGCTGCTCAGATGCCCCTTCCTCCAGGAAGCCTTCCCTGTCTTCCTGTTCCTAGGTCTCTGTTGCCTTAAGTGCCCTCAGCTGCACTCCCATCTGCCACCTTGGCACATCCATAGCACATGAGCACTGGCTGTGTGTGCCCCAGTGCAGAACAGGTGCTGCCCTCTTGTTGGTACCAACCAGAACATTTTCCTCCAGGATCTGTGCTCCATCCTGCCTTTCCCTGTGAGTCCCTGAGTGCTGTGCTGAGATCCCAGGGACCTTCAGTGAGCCAGGACAGGTAGGGCTTAGGTCAGAGCAGTCCTACAGCACTCAACAATCTCTAAAAGGCCTTCACAGTCACTTTCTTTGAGATCAAGGGAGAAAACCGGCATCCACTGCAATGGGGACAGTTGTTTCCTGTGACCGTGAGCCAGTGACCAGGACCTGGGGCCAGACCTACATGGCCTTGAGAGGCCTTTGGCTGAGAGAAGAAGGGAATCTGAGGACAAGCTATTCCAAATTAGATTTCCACAAAAAACTCCTTCCTCGTAAGCAGACACATAAGAAGGCAGACTGTCATTATCTTAGCTGGTTCTTGGCTAGGAGGTCATCTGCGCTATCACTTCTCTTGTCTTTGTGTCCGAGGATGAGCCCAGCCAGGGCTTCTAGGCACTTCCAGTGTTCAGCCTGGGCCAACTCTGGGCTGAGGACATGTCTCCTTCTGAGTCACAGAGCCCTTTGCTGATGGACACAGTGCCCACCCTGGGCTCTGAGGCCAGTGGAACAGCAGGGACATTATGGGTTCAACTGGTTGTCCTTCTCCATGGAAGATCTGAGCTGTTTGGCTCCCATTCTGGGAGCGAGGCTGGCAGTGGTGGTCCAGGCCATATTGGAACTGGAGCCCACTAGGCCAGTAGGGAGGGAGGAGGAAGGGGCTGGCATTATTATCAGTAAGAACTTGAGTCTTTCTTTCACGCGCCCCCCCCCCCCACACACACACACACTTTTTTATTATTGCAATGATTGTTGCGGTAGCAAGTGGAAAGAAAGTACAAGGGAGAAAAGAGAAACCATACTATTTCCCACAAGTACGTTTTCTTCTCTAATTGAAACCATAGTGTAAATTACACACCATGAGTGTTGCTCCATGTGATTCAAAACTTACTTTTAGTGACTGCAGATGATTCCCCCTTCTCTGTGCTCTGCAGTTGGCTCTCAGACGTTGAACGTGCAGATTTCTAATTTTTTTGCTCCTGTAAGGAATGTTGCCACGGACATCCTTGTGTGCAGATATTTTACATAGCTCTGATTTCCTTTGGGAATTCCTAGGAGTGGGATTTCTGGGTTGAATTGTCTGAGTGTTTTAATGCTCTGAATGTGAGTGTTAACCTACTTTTCACACATAGAAATTTCACACCTTATCCAGTTCTT